ACACACACACACACACACACACACACACACACACACACACACACACACACACACACACACACACACACACACACACACACACACACACACACAGATGAAGAAATAAGGAGACTGAAATTTTCAAGCTGAGGCATCAATGCATTGACAAGAAAACTTCCAACAGATAACTTTTAAATGGTCCATCTAGATATTAACAAAACCTACAAAGAACAAAAAATCATGTAAAAACCTAAAAGATTTGATAACATGGCAATTGAATGCAAAAACAAAAGACAGTTTGAACCTGTATGAACAAGCAGCACTCACCTTTGACAGTAACCTGTGCTGTGTGGTCAATCATGCCCAGAGGAGAGATGGCCACACATGTGTAGTTGGCCGATTCGCGGATGTTTGTGACCTCCAACACGTTGCGTCCCAATGGCATGTCCTCTTCCTTAGTTAGGTCTACTTGGCCCATCGTCCACTTGACATAGGGCATTGGCGAACCCACTGCCACACAAGTCAAGTTTATGCTGCCTCCTGGCATCACCTCTTGGTTGGTGGGAGGAATGGAAAATCTAGGTGGAACTCTTCGTACTAGAAGTGTCAAGCAAAAAAGAAGGATAGAGGAGTGAGTAAGTCAAATCTGTTAGGGGAGTATGATACCTTTTGAATGAATTTATGAATGATCTTGGCCCATGCAACACTGTAAGGGATAAACCCCATTTCAGAAAAGCTAACAAAGTAGGGAGCTGATCGCTTCTGTACAAATGTTCCCTTGAGCACAATGGAAATAATAATTAAAAAAAAGACCGTCACTAAGTGGTTCAGGAAATTCAAAAAAGAAAAAAAATTCAGAGGGAGTTTTATCCTTTTTCCCTACAAAAAGGAATATTACCAAAAATAGTCCCGTTTTTGCCAGCGACTACATCTGGACCTCTTTTGTCAAAGTGTCAAATGATGGTGAAAGTTGCATCACTGAAGGACCCTGTGGAGATGCCATTGTCTGATTTCCTCTCTCCCTCTCCCTCTCTCTCTCTCTCGCGCGCTACTTGGGCTTGGCCTGTCTTTCTGTCTCTCTGTCTCTCACGCCCTTTGTGCAGTTCTGATATGCAGATAGGCTGACATTAAAAAGGAGTTCCCATGGAGACAAGAAGGGCCCGTAGATGTCGCCTGGGACAAAGCAAACACTAACTCAGAGGCTCCATGCCACATTGAAGAGCTAGACTGGAATAAACAGGCAGTCAACATTTACATATGACTTCCTGTATGAAGATGCATACAAAATATAGTCAATTCTTTACACGTTTTATCTTTTTACAGTAACTTTTGGCAAAAAAAGGATTTTGTATTTGACAAGGGAAAGGAACCTTGACAACACAGTGTGAACATCCATTAGTGTCATGCGTGTAAATTTATGACGTTCCTGCAGTATGCACTCAGTCTAACAGGAGCTCAAACTTCTTTACTCGTGACTATGTAGAAAGTGAAGTTGAGCTCAACATTTAGCTCCCCACTGAGAATCCATTATCTCTATTCCACTGCTGTTCGTATGTTTTCAAGACGCTAGAGCACAAAACCATGCCTGCAGAATTCACACTACTTGTTTCCCCTAATGCACAACTGAAAACTTGAGCATCGAAAAAAATAAAATAAAGCAAGAAAATAAAATTTGACTGTAATTGCTCTTATGCCCTGGTCTTCATGAAAATGGATTTTCAAATATGAGTCTCCCTCCACCTTTCCTCCCCCCCACCAACCCTTCACCCCTCCCTCCCCGATCTAATTTGAACCGGAACGTCGTTACAGCCATGCTTGCTATTCCCCTCATTATGTGGTGAAATGGAAAAACACAAAAGCACCTTTTGAGATTCCAGTCAGGAAAAGGCTGGTTCTCTGGACGGTGTTATAATAAGTGTGTGTGTGTGTTTGTGTGTGTGTGTGTGTGTGTGGAGTGGAGGTGTGTGTGTGTGTG